TACCTATGTTTTTGTCAGATCAGCAAAAAATCCATTTTTTGGTGTGCTACAGAATTTTAGTAATTAGTTTATGTGTGCCATGAAATAAAGTTATACCAACTTCTTGTAACTTTAAAAAATAGTTACTATTGCCTGAGACTCTCCAGTGAATTCAAGCCAGAAATTCAAGCCAGTACACGGCAAAAAGTTAAAAATCTTTAATGGTGAACTATTCATATAAATTACTTGTAAACCTGCTTCAAGCTACCCCATCTCCTCCTCCTCTTTCAACAAATAAGTGCTTTTTCTTCTGTCTTGTTGCTAAACAGTGTGTAACACCCAGTGCCCCTCCCTTTAAAAATCGAACAAAATTATCTCCAACTAAAGGACCCAATGCAAAAAGGTGGGCTTCTTGAACACACTCGTAGGTGTACGCATCTATCGCCACAGGATTACCCTTACAAGTGATCGGGTGGCCTGAGTCATGGCCCAGGTAACAGCCGTGCTCTTTCAGAAAAGACAGATTGGGATGAGAACCTATCAGCACCACTGCTGCAGAAAGTTTAAATATTTTCTTCAATCCAGAGACACTCTGAAGGATGCACTTCATGTCCGACTTAAAGGAAAGCACATGGTGCTCAGGAAAGCTGGTGTAATCAGATAAAAGATCCGAGTCTGCAGAATATGACTGCGTACACATCATGTGATAGACCTTATGGTATTCTGGATATAGCTTTTTAGGAAGCTGCTTGAAAATTAAACTTGGATCAGTTACTCGTCTGCGAAATACATGAATCACAGGGATGTTGTTGTTGTAAGCAAACAGCACTGCATCAGCTGCAGTGAGCCCAGAACCTACAATTAACACTGGGTCCACTTGGCCACGCAACTTTCCTTTGCTTACAGCCACTCCAAATTCAGGCAGTGAATGAAACACAAAAGGAAAATCTTCCCCTTCAACCTCCAGACGGGCAGGAGAGTCCAATGTTCCCGTTGCCAGAACTACATTCTCAGCAAAGAGACTGAAGGGAACATGGGAGCCATCTGCTACTCGCTGATAGCCCCGGATCTCCCAGTTTCTCTTGATAAACTTGGACTTCTCCATCTGTGAATGCTGTGCTGGGATAGCTGCATCCTGACCACCATCCTCCTCCCGGTCTCTGTAGAGTCTGGACACAGAGGTAATGTAAGTATTCTCTCTGAAGTTCTTCTGAAGACCCATGACTTTCACATAATGTTTATAGTAGCGAGCTACTTCCTCTGGCATAACGCGATCCCCTTTTAGGTTCCTGGAGAAGGAGAAGGAAAACATCCTATGAGAACAGGACTTTGGTTCTGTGATTACTTTTTCATCAGTAAGCTGTTACTGTTTCAGCTATACATGACCCTAACCCCTTACAAAGAAAGCAAGCTTTTAGTTAAAAAGAAGATGCCTCCTGAGGGTAGAGACTAGGTAATGCATCCTGCTCCTCCATTGTATCTTTTCAGATTAGCTGCCTAAAATGTGGATATGTGATCATTAGACTCCTTTACAGTCTATGTTACAATTGTAATCTAAATTCAGTTTATAGCTCTACTATTTAGTCTTTGTTCTGTACTCTAAGTCAGCAATTTTCAACTGGTGTGACCAAATTTTTAAAATATGCAGTTCCTGACTATTTGATCAGGGGCACTGACCTCTTCCCTTAGGTTGTCAAATAAAAATAAAAAAATGACAGCACCCAATACAACAATAGCCAGTTGATGTGAATGAATCAAAATTATACCCTTTTTTCAGATCAGCAAAACAAATTTTTGGTGTGCCATAGAATTTTGGTAATTAGTTTATATGTGTTATGAGATAAAAAGGGTTGAAAGTCACTGCTGTAAGTAAAGACTAACTTATTTAATTATAATTGTTGAGATAGTACAGGTCTAACTGTAATACATAGATATACTTATTAAAGATAATATATACCACTCTGACACAATTTCCAGTAAGCTGCTTTCTATTTTCCTAATGACCAAAAATAAGACCAGTCTTCTACAAATAAAATTAGCTTACATCTAAGTAAATAATAGGACATTTCTGTGGTTTTTTACTCAGAAAGATATATAAATAAAATATTTTAATGAAAAGTACATTAGTACATCTTTCATTTTCCACTTGAAATCTAAAACAATGGGAATTAGCACCCCTAAACACTGTGCCCCAATTAGAGATAGATAGGAAAAACGAACCAAATCACTTCACATAATTCATTATGACTTGTTTTTGGAAAAAGTTAATAGGAAGTTTTCTTCTTAAAGTTTAATGATTATAATATTTAAGATTTAAAGCGTATTAACCTTTGATATTTACAGAAACCCTATGTAGTAGTAGTTACTATTATGATCTCCATTTTACAAGCTAGGAAATTGGCAGCTAATTTGTGTGACCAGGGTTACATCAGAAGTAAGAAAGTCAATCTAGAGAGACAACCTCTAGAGATTTAAGAGTCTTCCTTCTTTTAACACAATGCAAAGGCAGGAACTAAAGGTGATAGTAATTCTGTACTCAATAATCCCCACTTCAGGACAAGCACTCTGGTATAGAGTCATGAAGCTCCTTTCTTACCCACATCACAAAGCGAAGAATGTTGAGCAGTTTTATTTACTGACTTATGAAAATCAGGAACTTGTACAACTTGCCTGATTTTGCAACTTTACATGTCAAATCCATATACAATTCTTTTTTAAAAACCCAAAAGGAATATCTGATAAGTTTAATTTCAATTACACATGCTGGTCTAAATTTGCTCTCCTTACATCTTGTCAAACGGAGGATAATTTCTGTAGATTAACATGGATTCTATGAAGCAGGAAGTCAAGCATTCAAATGGTACAGCCCTGTTCTAACAAAAGTTCAGTAACTTCCTGCTTTCATTTACAGGAATGAAATGTTTCTGTGAGTAATCAAACTATATAGATCCTCTGCATTAGTAATTCCTATTTAATATTATTATCCTTGAAAACAATAGGGCTTTTCAATTTTTCTTTTTAAATTTTAGGTTCTTTCCCCCAAAATACACTTGTATTCTTCCAAGTTGAGATTTCTTCTCAGTTACTCAGTTAATATTTCCTACTAAAAATTTACCTCTATATCTAAGTAGCCAATCACACCATCGATTCTAGTTTATTCCATCACTCTAAACGAATAATCATATGCACTCCTCTAGTTTGAACGTCAAACACTTTAGGTATGTACACATGAACTATGTGTACATGAATTTATATATCCACTCATAAAATAAGTGACTGAGTGAGTGTGGAAAGGATGTGTGGGAAGATGAGAAAGGAAACCGTGGTTTAACAGGACAGGATAAACCCATGCTCAGCAGAGCAGTCGGAGCCCAGCCTATAGACAAGCCCCTGCTGACCTCCAGGGAGGGGAACAGCTCAGAATCCCGGCTACAGAGGCTTCTGACGAGAGACACACAGACATCTGTATTATTCATCTAAGACAGGTCACAGGTACCTTGAAATTTGCCGACAATCTTTCAATTGCAACCAAAGAATGGTAATAGTTTGATCTTTACCTTCGTTTGCTAGTTACCCAGTCTTTAAATTTAAGTCCAGGGAGCTCCATCCAATTTCCAAAGCTGATTGTCAACATGGAGCCTTCCATATTCTATTTGGATAAAAAATGTGCAATCAAAAAACATGTTTAGGTAACACGGGGTTTTTGTGTGTGTGTGTTTTTAACCAAACCCATCTATAAACTTTAGAGCTCAAAGGAGTCCTAAATGGTTACATAAATTACCTCTCAAAGTTTATTCCAATAAACTTTCAAATAATACTTTCATCATTTGGTAGTATCTACCTATATACTTCTTTCATATAGTTATACATTTACAGAACAAATTTACAATATTACCTGGTACCTACACAATGTTAATAGTTTTGGCCTATAATCAACATGATAATTCAGATGTAGATATTTTAGTGAAACAAATGGATATTTTCACCTTTTAAACAAAAGGAAAAGAGTTAATTTCCAACTATTATTTTTTAAAATGTTTTTATTAATTTCAGAGAGAGGAAGGGAGAGGGAGAGAGACAGAAGATGGAAACATCAATGATGAGAGAATCTTTGATTGGCTACCTCCTACATGCCCCCTTACTGGGGATCAAACCTGCAACCTGGGCATGTGTCCACTGGGAATCGGACCGTGACTTCTGGTTCATGGGTTGACACTCAACCACTGAGCCATGCCAGCCTGGCAACTTCCACACTTTAGAGGTCTTTTTATTTTATTATTATTAATAATTTTTTTAATGGGCAACACAACAGCCTCCCCCCATCAATTGTAATTATGAAGTCTAAGGTGGTTTGGCTATGGCAGCATCTTTCTAGAACGAGGAAACGCAGCAGTGGTGGCCTGATTAAGAACAGACTCACTGCTAATGCTAATGCCCCTTTTAGAGAGAAGTGAGCCCTTCATGCTCCGTGCCCCGTCTCAGTGTCCTCAATGACCTCTTTTACTAACTCTTTCAGGCTATGGCTTTTTTTCCCTTAACTCTCTCACCCGTGTCGATAGCCTGTAATGGCAATGGCCAACATTTACAGACGCTTGTTAAGTGCTAGGCCTTATGAAGCTAATTTGTGACACATTACCAAGGGAGAGAATGCAGCAAGCTGCCACTGCTTTGAGGCAGGTTGGGCCTGGGACTTGGGTCAGAACCAAGATGGAAAACTAGGACCAACAGAAGGGGAGCTGTTAAGAATTTATTATATGTCAGAAGTTATCTGCAGCCACATAATCATCTCATCTTGAACTGAAAAACCTTAAAGCACTGTATTCCACTTCCTGTCAACAATCTCTTCACTTTATTCCCGCTGCACCAGTTCTTCCAGTTGGTTGCAAGACCTAGTCCCTTGATCTGTTCATTTTTCTCCCCATCGGCTTTTCTTTTTTCCCTATGCAACCTGTATGCCATGGTGCCTGCAGTCATGGAGACAGTATATCAAGGGGTGCAAACCTGACAGAAGTCCTGTAGGAGCATACAGAAAGAGGCTATTCTTCAAGGACACAAGCAGAATTTACGGGATGCACTGTTAGAAAGGGAGACTATTCTAGGCAGAAGAAGCAAGCTATGTGACTGTTTAATAAAAAACTCACCAGGGTGCAGAAAAGAATTAACAGGCTCGGGCTGCATTAGCCCTGCATATTACTAAGAAAGATCTGTTCAGAACTGGCCCTTGGTCGCCTCCTGGGAGACATCCTCTAACCCTTGGAATATTCCACCTGATGAGGTTTTCTGTGTGCCAGAGCCTGGGCCATGCCGCACCAGTGGGCCATGCACATTTACCCTAACATGGGATTATGGTGAACCCCACTGTTTGCTCTGGGAGGCAGGGACCAGTCAGAGGCCTATCACATGGGAGCTGCTCGCTTGCATGGCTGAGCCCCCAAAAATTCCCTGGACACCAAGGCGTGAATGAGCATCCTTAATTGGCTCCCACTTGATAAATTAAATGTAAACAACTTTTAGACATAACATTACACTAATATAGGAATACCAGAGACCCAGTGAACGAATTCGTACACCAGTGGGGTCCCCAAGACTGGCCTGCATGATCAGGCCAAAACCAGCTCTCTGACATCCCCTGGGAGGTCCCGGATTGTGAGAAGGCGCAGGCCAGGCCGAGGGACCCCACCAGTGCACGATCAAGACTGGGGAGGGATGTGGGAGGTTGTCCAGCAGGGGAGGGACTGTGGGAGGGCTCCAGGGCGTGTCCGGCCTGTCTCGCTCAGTCACGATCAGCCAGACCTCAGCAGCAAGCTAACCTACCAGTCAGAGTGTCTGCCCCCTGGTGGTCAGTTCACGTTATAGCGACTGGTCGACAGGTCAATTGTCTGCCCCCCTGGTGATCAGTACACATCATAGCAAGTAGTTGAGCAGCCTTAGCATATCATTAGCATATTACGCTTTGATTGGTTGAACAGACGACCAGATACTTAGCATATTAGGTTTTTATTATATAGGAGGATCCAACTGAAGTCTGTACTTAAAATTTGATATGTTAAAATTTTCATGAAGTCTGTACTTCATAACATAGCAAATTTATTTAATATTTATACAACAAATGAGCATTCTCTACACACTAGATACTATACTGGCTGCTAAGGACAGAGTAAACAAAAATTATTAGTTGCTGCCTCTAATGAAATGCACTGACCTTTAATGTTATCAGTTCTCTGGCTAAACTTCTGCTATGGACTAAACTGTGCCACCTCCAAATTCCATGGGAAGCCCTAACACCCAATGTGAAGATATTTGCAGGTGGGGAGGTGGGGCCTTTCAGAGGTCATCAGGCCTAAGATGAGATCATGGGGAGTGGAGGGGGGGCTCATGTCAGGATTAATGGCTTTATAGGAGGAAGACACATCATGCTGTCACCACCATGTGAGGACACAGCAAGAAAGCAGCTGTCTGCAAACCAGGAAACTGAATACACTGGCACCTTGATCCTGGTCATTGCAGCTTCCAAACTGTGAGAAATAGTGTCTGTTTTGTAAGCCACCTGGTCTACGGTAGTTTGTTATAGCAGCACAAGCAAGCAAATACAAGTTTATTCTTTTACATTTTTCAATTAAGATCCTGAAGATATAAAGAAATAATTGATATTGGTATGAAATAGTGTGTGAAATTTTGTAAATTCTAAAATAAATAAATAAAAGTACTTTGACTATGAAATGTTAAAATATTTTCTATATAAATCTTATAAAATGACTAGAGGTCCAGTGCATGAAATTCATGCACTCGCGGGGGGTGGGTATTACTCAGGCCAGCCTGCGACCTCTCAAGAGTCCAGGAGCCCTCGGGGGATGTCCGACTGCTGCAGAGGTGGGAGAGCCTCCCGCCACCACTACTGTGCTTGTCAGTCATGAGCCCGGCTTCTAGCTGAGTGGCGCTTCCCCTGTGGGAGCGCACTGACCTCCAGGGGGCAGCTCCTTCCTTGAATGTCTGCCCCCTGGTGGTCAGTGCACATCATAACGACCATTCCATTTGCATATTAGCTTCTTATAATACAGGATATAGAAAAAGTGCTTATTCTAAGACTATAAGTAATAAAATTTGGCTTAACTTCTAGTAATTACCCACATCGAATTAAATAGGATTAAAACTCCAAATAAAAATTCAGTTAATATATATAACATATCATAATGTTTAAGAATCAAAATTGTCTTATTAATAAGATCTATATAATAGCTCATACTGAAATGCTAAGAAAATTGTATACTCACATGCCAAGCTCCACCAGGTGGGCCTTTACCAAGAACTAAGTGAGGGATATAATGATGTTGTTCTAATTTCCAATGCAAAACAGATGGATAGTCATACCCAAAGTCAGCATCTGGATGAAGGAGTGTGTCAAACAGTACTGCAACTGGATTGGATGATCGGCCTTCAAGGCCCTCGGACAAGTATTCTAAGTCCTGAATGAATTTAAAAATAAAAAGGGGGGTGGGGAGCAGATAGAGTTTGAAAAAAGAGAAAAACACAAACCACTGCTATCATAACAAAAGTGAAGGCCATTACTCTAACCCAGCATTTCCCGGAGAGTGGGCTGCACAACACTGGTGGCCCTTGAGATCTTAACAGATTCTTTGGTCAAATATGGGAAAGGTTGGTTCTCAACTAATCTAATCTGATCCTTTTACTGCAAAACTTGAAGATGACTTTAACATGCTAATATGCCTTAATATGTCTACAGTGACACTGCAGTCATAAAAGGCAGCCCTTTCCAAACTCATTTGAGCATACAACAGCTATTAAAACTTTATCAGGAAATCATTTGAGAAATTTTATTCTTATCAAATCAGGAAAATAAATAAAAGCAAGCAGAATGTATTTACAAATCTATGATTAAAATGATAGAAAGTGTTATTAGAAGAAAGGATTTTCAATTAAACACAATGCTTATATAAGCTGAACTAATCTTGTTTCAGTATAAAAAAATTAAAAGGATTGAAATAATACCTGATCAACAAGGGAAAGATGTCTTGCTTCTTGTAATTTACTCTGTAAGATTGTATTTGGATGTATTGCTTCTGATGATAAATATGGTCGGTAGCCTGATAACATGTAAGAAAGGCAGATCCCTGAGGGTCCATTTCCTATTTTAAAAAAAAGAGAAGGTGGAGAGGGTATGCCACACACCACACGCCTCTTCCTTGGCTTTCCTCCGCCTCCACACGTGGCTTCTTCCTCACCAATTCTGCCTTCTCTAAACTCTGAAAGCCAAGGAGTCACAACACTCTGACTTTCGCCTTCACTCCTGGTTTTTGTGGGAAGTCTCATCTACTCAAAGCTTCAACTCTCTATGCTTATACCGAGTCACAAAATTAGATCTCTAGGCTGACCCCTTCCCCAAAAATACACTTCACATTTCCATATGCTGCTGCTTTACACCACCTGACAGGCCCACTAACAACTTAATCAAAATGCATTCAAAGCAAATCCATGCATCCCTTCATTTAGCTGCCCTCTCTTCCTCCTCCACATATGGCACGCGCAAAATCTTAAGCCACTCAGCTTCTGGTTCTACACCCATTATGTCATCTATATCCATTAGGTTGTCTTTGCTTTTCTCCCGTACTTTCAATCAGAAGGCAAGTCTCCCCCTCCTTCTCCTCAAGTTCACCTGCTCCAAAACCATTCCACACTCAGAGGATTTTGGTAACACATGGTCTTCAGCATGTTGCTTCCTCTATTTTAAACGCCTTAACTGCTTGTTTGCTGACTACCCAGTATTCTCTACGTTCTAGTCTCAACCATCCTTCTAGTGATCTAGTCCCATCACCTAATGCGGCCTTCCATATTTTTTTATATGCTTTAACTGAAACCAAACTGCATTTGTCATTGAAATATTTCCATTTCCATAGTTCCCTTAGTCTGGGTTTGCTACCTCTCTATTATCTACATCCATCAAAAACTGAATCCCACTGGGACAGCTGCTAGCCATAGGGAAAAAAAAACAACACTTATTCTTCACCTAATATTTTGTCCCAAATAAGCTCAAAGGTGTAAATATGAAAAGTAAAATCATAAGAATATTAGTAAAGTGGGTGATACTTCTATTTATAATGCTGGAGTGGGAAGCCTTTAAGCATGACATAGAACTCAAAAGACAGAGTAAAGTAAACCTTTGCCCTCATACAAATGATTAACAACTGACAAGTAGTGGGAATGAAGACCTGAGGAAAAGAGCTTATTTCCTTGAATCAAAAAGAGACGAAACTGAAGAAGAGAAGTCATGATAACATCAACAGCTATAGAAAAAGCATTTGACAAAACCCAACACCTATTCATGATAAAAAAAAAAACTCACAGCAAACTATAGAGAGGGGAATTTCCTCCACTTGAAAAGGAGTATCTACAAAAAGCCTACAGCTAACGCCATACTCAGTGGTGAGAAATTACGTGCTTTCCCTCTAAGATCAACAACAGGACAAGGATGTCTCTTTATACCATTCCTACTCAACACACATCTTGATGGAAGTCCTAGATAATGCTGTAAAGACAAGAAAAGGAAACTCTGTGGCCCAAGTCAAGTACCCGCTGAGTCCCACAGAATAACTGCTCTGTGCCTTGGGGATCAGGAGGAAAGAAAAAAGTTCCCTGTGTTCTGGAAGCTTTCAGGACACTCCTGATAAGGAAAAGGCCTGTGACATGCCCAGCAAGAACACAAGAGTGAAATGGAACAATTCCTAAACCTGGGTCACATCTCCTTCCTTGAGTAGCTTGTTAAATACAGATGGCCCGCCCAGCTGGCATGGCTCATGGTTGAGTGTCAACCTAGGAACCAGGAGGTCACAGTTGATTCCCAGTCAGGGCACATACTGGGGTTGTGGGCTCGAGCCCCAGTGTGGGGCGTGCGGGAGGCAGCCAATCAATGATTCTCTCTCATCATTGATGTTTCTATCTCTCTCTCCCTCTCCATTCCTCTCTGAAATCAATAAAAATACAGATGGCCAAGCCGTGACCCCAGTGGTCAGCTTCAGAGAGCTGGGGTGAGAGCCCAGACATCTGTGTGGTTAACCACCTAAGGGGGGCGGGGGGGTGACGACAAGAAAAGGAAATAAAAGGTATACAGATTGGGGAGGAAGAAATAAAACTCTCTTTGTTCACAATGCCATGATTATCTATATAGAAAATCCCAAAGAATTGAAAAAACCTCCTGGAACTAACAGGCAATTATAGCAAGGTTGCAAGATACAGAAAGAAGGCAGCTACTTTCCTATATATCAGCAATGACAAGCGGAATTTGAAATGCAATACACAACACTGCTTATATTTGCACAGAAAAGAAAAATACTTGGATATAAGTATTCACATAGAATAACACATTTAAGATCTATGTGAGCAAAACCACAGAACTGATGAAATTAAAGCATACCTAAACAGATGGAAAGATAGTACAAGCTTGTGAATAGTAAGACTAATCTTGTTAAGATGTCAGTTCTTCCCAACTTGAACTACAGATTTAATGAATCCAAATCAAAATCCCCAGCAAGTTACTCTGTGGATATGGCAAACTGATTCTAAAGTTGAAGTGGAAATGTGGAAAATCCAGAAGAGCCAGCACAATATTGAACAAAGTAAAAACTGAAACCATCCAACTTCAAGTCTTACTGTAAAACTAGTCGGCAACACAGTGTGGAAAAAAATAAAAGGACAAAATCAATGGAACACAATAGAGAACCCAGAGATCTTCACAAGAATAGTCAACTGATTTTTGACAAGAAAGCAAAGGCAATCCAATGGTGGTAAGTCTTTTCAATAAGTGGTACAAGAACAGGTGTACATCCACACATCAAGATATAAATCTGGATATTAACCTTACTAGAGGCCCAGTGCAGGAAATTCATGCACAGGTAGGGTCCCTAGGCCTGGCTGGCGATCAGAGCCAACTGGGGCCTTCCGGCTGCTGGCCGGGTCCTCCCTTCCCCGGCTGCTCGCAGAGGCCTCAATGCTCTCAAAATAGATCACAGATGTAAATATAAGATGCAAAATAATAAAGCTTCTAGAACAGGGATGGGCAAACTTTTTGACTTGAGGGCCACAATGGGTTCTTAAACTGGACCGGAGGGCTGGAACAAAAGCATGGATGGAGTGTTTGTGTGAACTAATATAAATTCAAAGTAAACATCATTACATAAAAGGGTATGGTCTTTTTTTTTTTAGTTTTATTCATTTCAAATGGGCCGGGTCTGGCCCGCGGGCCGTAGTTTGCCCACAGCTGTTCTAGAAGATAACAGGAGAAAATTTAGATGACCTTTGGTTTTGGTGATGAATTTTAATGAATTTTTAAAAACTAAGCATAGTCTTACCAGGTGATCCAGCAATTACATTCCTTGTTTTTTACCCAAATGAGTTGAAAACTTAATGGCCATGCAAAAATCTGTATGTTTATAGCAACTTTACTCATAATTGTCAAAAATTGGAAGCAATCAAGATGTCATTCAATTAGTGAATGGATAAGCAAATTGTGAAACATCCATACAACAGAAAACCCATACATACATTAAGGGAATTCGCTCTTTACTAAGTATCTAGGCCAGCCGTGGGCAAACTATGGCCTGCGGGCCAGATCCGGCCCATTTGAAATGAATAAAACTATTGAAGAAAATGACCGTACCCTTTTATGTAATGATGTTTACTTTGAATTTACATTAGTTTACACAAACACTCCATCCATGCTTTTGTTCCGGCCCTCCGGTACAGTTTAAGAACCCATTGTGGCCCTCGAGTCAAAAAGTTTGCCCACCCCTGATCTAGGCTCAGGTTGGTGGTGCTACTGCCAAGAGTAATGCATTAGGTTAAGCTACACTCATTGGCTAGCTGAGGCCAAACAGAAATAGATTGTTTAGGGGGAGTGAGGTGGGCAGGTATGGAGGAAGGTGGCTTTTCCTGACTCTCCTGTAGCCAAGCTAGAACAAGATGCCAAGGTTCCTTGACTCCCAAGATATCAAGGATGGAAAGCAGGGTGGATGTAAGTTGGAAAATGGTACACAAGGTAAGATGCTCAAACCTCAGAGGGAAGGGAGGGAAAGGTGGGGGTAAGAGGGAGAGATCAACCAAGAGATTTGTATGCATGCATATAAGCATAACCAATGGATGCAGACAACAGAGGGTGAGGGTGAGGGCAGGACTGCGGGGGTGGGGAGGCAATGGGGGGATAACCACACATTTGTAATACCTTAATTAATAAAAAGTAACAAAAACAAATTTTAAAAAAATGCTGGATGTGAAACAGTGCAGAAACACCTTTATCCTCTGCCCTAGAGGGGAATCTGTATAGAACTATAGTGCTCCCTTCCTTCCTTCCTCCCCCAAGTCTCCCACATGCTGGACAGAGGAGAGGGCTTTTCTCCCTTTCCCACTGACTTTGAAAGAAAATATAGGTTGTCTTCATTACCAGGACACTGTCATAAATCACCACAACTGATAGTATCTAATATAATAATATGCAAATTAGCCAGGACACCGCTACAAGCATCGGTGAACTACAGGAGGGCGGGGCAGGGGCAGAGAGCTACCAGCTGTAGTGGGCCGGGTAGCCAGCTGAGGCAGGCAGCAGCGAGCTATTCGCACACGGATTCGTACTACTTTTAAAATAATAGAGTAATATCAATCCTTAATGAATGGATGCTGTGCTGCATTCTAACACAGGACCTCAATCAGGTAAACCATTTACTCTCTCCAAAGATTTGGTTATTGGTTGTTTTAAGATATTAAACCTAATAATACTTTTCAATAAAATCCTAAGAACGTGTAACTATGTAACTGTAAATGTATAAAAGTAGTAAGGATCATAACTAATTTTAAGAGATACAGTGCAATAACTTACCTATTACTACCACAGGCAAAGTCACTGATGAATCCTCAAGAAAAGAAGTTTCTTCAACTAAGGGCATCGCTTTCACTTTTCGCCCCAAATTATCACCAAAATACTGAACTAAGGAATTATAAATCTCTCCTTCGGTTTCAGTGTCACCATAGTTTCTTTTTAAAAACAAACATGGAACAAAAACAAGAGATATATAATTAATATAGCCTTTATAAAAATCTCTTTATTCAGATTTTACTTAGGCACCAAAAAAAATTCCAGTTCCATAAAAGGAGAAAATCCTTCTGATTAATGCTTTCAAATCAGGAGCTTTAGCTACATGTCAACCTTCACCAATTTGAATGTCAGAAATCCTCAATAGCTGCCAATGTCTCTTTATAGGCCAGTCCTACATAAGACAAGTCCCAAATAAGAAGCTGTCTTTAAGATGACCGACGACACAGATTATATGGAGATTTTTAATTTTCTGAGATCCTGTAGGAGTGGGTAGTTTCTTTTTTTACTTTTCTTTCATTAATAGAAAGTACATTAGAGGCAGTATATTTAAAACAAAAGTCACAACTAATATTTTAAGGAAAAGTTACTGTACCTATATTGTGCATTTTGATTTAAAAAAATGTTTATACATTTTTTTCTCAAAGACATACTGAAATATGGAAAGATCCTAATGCTGATTTCCAATCTACCTTCTTTCCCAATTGCCTTCCTAGAAACTATTTTTAGCATTCTGACATACTCATGCAATAAATGGACTTATGTTAAACATCGTTTCATGTGCTTATTAACCATTTATACATCTCTGGAGAAAGTCAAATTCTTTGCCCACTTTCAAATTGGGTTCTCTTTTGATTGTTGAGCTTTAAAAATCCTTTATATAAGTCCCTTTTCAGATATATGATTTACAGATATTTTCTTCCATTCTGTGTGTTGCCTATTCACTTCATGTTGTCTTTTTAATCACAAGTTTTACATTTTGATCAAGTCCAATTTATTTTTTCTTTTGTTGCTATGCATTTGGTGTCATATTTAAGAAACCAATACTTAATCCAAAGCCACAAAAATTTACTCCAGTGCTTTCTTCTACAAGTTTTATAATTCTAGTTCTTACATTTAGGTTTTTCATTCATTTTGAGTTAGTTTCTGGATATGGTGTCAGGTAGGAGTCCAACTTCATTATTTTGCTTGTGAATATTTGTCCTAGCACCATTTGTAGACTATTCTCCTTTGACTCACGATCCATGGAAAACCAAGTGGCCATAAGCATAAGGATTTATTTCTGGACTCTCAATTTTTGGCTGAGTTCTGTGCAATTCCATATACTTGTCTGGGGGGGGGGGGGGGGGAAGCAGTTAGAATTTTGATAGGATTGCACTGACTTTGTAGATCAATTGAGAAATACAGCCATCTTAAGCACAGAGTGGGGCAAAATAGGTTTACAGTTGTTTATATGGTAAATAATATAGTAAATAATGCAAGAATAAACTTTTGAGTACTCCAACTGTACGCCTATTCTTGCCCCACCCGACAGGAAGGTTCTCAATCCCCCACACGGGATTCCTCTTCGCTCAGAGGCCGGCCTCGGGTCCTCGGGATGTTCTGTGCTTTTACATTTCCTTTTGTTAAAGCGCCTCCCACTTACTGCTGCGGGTGTTGTAGCATGGAATCCACCGGAGCTGCCGGGAGGGCCTGGCCGTCAGGCAGGAGCGGCCGCAACGGGCCGAGCAGCGCCCCTGGCCGTGCACGCCTGCACCGCGACGGCTGGGGGGCAGTCACGGGTATGGCTGTGGTTCTTGCATTTATTCATCACTGGGTATTAGATTTCGGTTTTTAAAACTCGGCGGAAATCCTGTGGTAGCCTTCTTCATCCGTGTTCAGGCACCTCCATTGCCCCGTCCAACTGTAGGACTCCGGACCGTTTTCCGTGGCCATCCCGGGCTTCGGTCGCCAGTGGCGCCTGAAATGCGGCCGGTCCAGGTCCAGGTCTGATCTAAGTGCAAAATGTGCACCGGCTTTCTCAGACGTAGTGTGAACAGGAAAGAGCGTACACGGTTTCATTTTATATTGATTGCACGCTGAAACGAGAATGTTATGGAAAGTTTAAAATCACAGTACATTTCTGTCGGATAGGGCTGCTCTACAGGGAAGGAGATCTATTCTCAGAGCTTCCGGGTTGCCTTCTAGTACGGTCCCCACGGCTTACAAAGGGGGACACATTCTGAGAAATGCACCGTTGGAGGATTTCATCATTGTGTGACCACCATGGAGCGCATGTACGCAAACCTAGGTGGAACAGGCTCCTGCACACCCAGGCTCCATGGTGTAGCCTACGGAACCCAGGCTACAAGCCTGTTTAGCATGTTACTGTACAAAACTACACAAATTAAATCAGCCACAAGAGGCAGGGATGCAATGCAGGTGGAGCAACAAACTGATGTCTCTCTCTCACACGCACCAATCAATCAATCAGTGCATCAACTTTTTAAAAGAACACATGGATGGG